CAAACATCATTTTCTAAATATAATTAGCAAAGGTAATTAAATAAAATTTGAAGCTTAAATTTTACCATGAAATATTTTATCTTTTCACAGACATTACTTCCATGAAATCCTTAAGCTCACATAAAATATAATTTTGATAAATTTTTGTTTGAGTAAATTACATTCTTGGTCCCTGTGGCTTATGTGTTTTAACACTTTGAGTCCCTATTTTGAAATATCTATGGATTGCATACATGTAAGTTTGCATTTTATAACATGTTGGATCTCTAAATCTAACTCCATCCAAAAAATGATGTTAACTCAGTTAGTTTAGAGGGGTGTTTTAGTCATTTAATTTATTTTTTATTTTCTATTAAAACCACATGACCAAACATGTAATTTACTCCATTCTTTATCAATAGCTGGCTCCGTCTCTTTTTATCTCACCAACTAAATGGTGCCACATGTCTGTTTAGTTTCAAATTATAACAGACATCTTGTAACTTTGACCAGTTCATATTCTCCGATGACCCACCTTCGTCACTGCTCATCTTCTCTGAAGACAAACTAACACCATATTCAAACCTAGTTAAAAAATTTACACTTCATCATCATGAAGATCTTAACAGGTTCTAATATCAAATCAACCTTAAAGATCCATAAATAAATCAAAGACTTTGAACTAAGATCAAATAACATCAATAAACATGACATAAAGCCCTCAAACTACATATATTTGAAACATATCTAGATCTGCTCGCGGAAAAAATCACAGATCTTTGAAATAAATAAAAAAACCTCAGACCACAAACCTTTGAAACATAACCCTGGTCTGCTTGAAAAAAATTCATAAACCAGATTTGAATCAATGAACCTATCGGCTGAGAAATACAGATGAAACATATGTGGATCTGGTATTTAGATGAGATGTAGAAGCATATTTGCAGGAGGGGTCGAATCATGAAGAGTCAGGGGGTTCGATTCATGATGAAGACGAAGAGAGAGGGGCATATTTGGTGGTATAGAAAGGGAACAGAAGATGGTTGGAGACGGATCTGGCTCCTTCTGCATATGATACATTGGAACTGCTCCTTCTCAAATGTCGTGATGGAGATGACGAGACTCGACCAAAAATGTAATTTACTCTTTTTGTTTTAATTAGCTGACAATTAAAAATAGTTATAAAATTAAATATCTAACAATATTTTAGATAATAAGATATAAAAGTTTTAAATTTTAGCATTTTACTAAAACTAATTAATATACAAAATAGTATTATAGTTATATTATATATAAAAATATAAGTTTAAGTAGTTTATTTAAACCAACTAAGGGGTTGTTTGTTTACCTCTTAATAGTTCAATTAAGAGTCTTCTTCTGAATCGTTAAGAGATGAATCTTGTTGGCGAAAAAAAAGTTTGTCTCTTAATGGTTCTAAAACTCGTTTAATGATTTTGAATAATAGGCATCTCTTAACCATTCAGCGCCCTAATTTCGTTGTAAATAATTGCGAAATAGTTATATTTCATTTTACACTATATCATGATAACTTCTTAATCATTCTGACCATTTAATTATTTTGCACCAAACCATTCAACAACGGCCAAACAACCCCTAATATACATTAAAATGGTTATAATTAAATTATAACTAATAAAATATAACAATATTACAATTCAGCACTAATCGATTGAAGATTATTAGTTTTATTATGTAATAATGATATAATTTAACACATCATAATAACACTAATAATCTTCAACCGGTTAATGTTAAATTATAACATTTTATATATTTATTTGTTTATTAATTATAATCACCTTAATGTGTAACAGTTAAAGTTATATTTTTATATCTTATATAACTGTAATATATTTTAAGGGACCAAATATGTTGTAAAATGAAAAGTAGTTTGAAGGACCAAATATGTCATTGAAGATCGAAGTTGAGATAAGAGGAGGGTGAATAGACAAAACTGCCCCTCGCTAACGTAAACTTAACCGAGGGAGTTAGAGGAAGAATCATATCCGTTATAAAAAAAATGACAGAGATGTTTTTTGTTAATAATTCTTTTCAGGGACCTTACTCATTAATTTATGTAAACCACAAGAACCAAATCTGTATTTAACCATTTTCATTAATATCACTTTTAAAAATTAAACAATATATTATATGATTTATTTATTTTATATTAAATTAAATTCTAAAAATACATTTTTTATTTAATATACACCCCTCTCCTTCCCATTTCATCGTGACAGCAACCCGTCACCTTCATGTGTTCAACGGTAACCCCGCCCCTTATGGGAAGGTTATCGGAAAATGCAAGAAGCCAATTTGGGGAGTGGTAGGGTGTGTAACAGATAAAACCAAGTAAAAGATAACAGAAGTGTAAAATTAGTAAAATATTATATTGAAAAAAGGATGTTATACATGTTGTATAAAACGAAGAGGATGGATCAGATTAACTGTTCAACTTCCTATATTGATTCCTCATGACCCTGTCCCCTTATCGTTTCCCCTGACCACCACCCTTATCACGTTCCTGTTTAACAGTGGCCCCACCCTAACGGGGAGGCTGTCAGAATGTAAAAGATGGAGGTCAGGAAAGGGTGGGTTAAAGACTACAAAAGAGAGAAAAGATGAAAATGCCCATCATTTGACACATTTTTTTTTAACAAATCAGTCAGAATGATTATTTTTAAAGCAAAATGTAAACTTTAATGATCATTTATGTACTTAATAGAGCATCTTCAATGGTTATGCTGTGATAGAAAAGTTGGGGATTTATAAGGGGGCGTTTGGTTCGCATAATGATTTTTTGAATGAATGAGATAGGTCAAAGGAATTGGAATCTGAAAGGAATTGGAATTGAATGTTATCATGTTTGACCAAGTGTTTGATTGACAGGGATGAAATGTAACATGTTTAATAAATTGGAATCTGTTTGTTTTGTTTGCAACAAAATTTGGAATGGAATTATGAAAAATGACAAAAATACTGTTTCTTTGATTTTTTTTTAATTACATTACATATGGAGAGCAAATTAACACAATAACAACCTTCTCCTTTTTTCTTACTTTTTATCTTTCTTTCCCTCATCCATCTGTGCTTCTTCAGCCTCGACTCAAACTGAAGGAAACAGTGATGTTTATGGGTCGAAGCAGTGCTCCTAAATCGAAGCCGTGATGCTATGGGTCACCTTTTGGTGAAGGAAGCAGTACAAGTTTGAGAAATTGAATGGAAACAGTAACTGAATGGAAGCAGTACAAGTTTAAGAAATCGAATGGAAGAAATACATGTTTGAGAAATCAATCGGTGAAGGATTCACAGAGGAAGAAATCGATCTTGAAGGAGTCCAGACTTCAATAAATGAAGGAGAATGACTAGAATAATCTGTTGATTGAGAGAAAGAAGTCGATCGTGAAGGAGTTACATTAGCGGCTAGGGTTTTATCTTTTAGTGAGGGTAGTTTTATCATTTTCAAAATACTGGTTGGAATGGATCTCAATTCCATCACTTTTATGAAGGAATGATCAAATCCACATTTAAGGAAATATTTGGAATTTAATTCCATTCCATAGGTAACCAAAAGTCAGAATGGAATTGGTCAACGAAATTGACCATTTCAATTCCATCGGATTTCGACGATCCAAATGCCCCCTAAGAGTTTTTTGCTCCAATAGCTAATTGATACTCTATTTTAGAAAAAACTATAGCATAACTGTTGAATATGTTTTTAAAGTTCATGGACGATGTTTTTAGATTTATATAAACCAGATGTACCAAAATTTTAGGAGTTGTTTGGTTGATTTTTCATCAGATCCTGTATGGATAAAACTGTGTGTGTAAATTAATTTGTTTGTATAGACCGGTAAAACTTTTGTTTGGAAGGGGCTTTTCATATATGGAAGGAACATGTTTTTTAATTGGGAGGAACATGTTTCGAAAAAGCTTTCCTTTTTGTATAAAACCTCATCTAGAAGCTTACCGAACAAACCACTTTCTACATAATTAAGAGGCGGTTTGGTTGGTTTTCCATCAAGTCTTATACAAATAAAATTGTCTGTGCAGTTTAATCTGTTTGCATAGATTGATTTTTTTTTTGTTTGAGAGCTCTTTTCCATAGATGGACGAAGCATATTTTTTAACTAAAAGGTACATGTTTCGAAAGAACTTGACTTTCTGCATAAAACTTTATACTAGAAACTGCTTAATATATTTATTATTAAACAAATAGTTATCTTAATCACTACTTAATATACAATGAGCGGTAAAAGCCTAAAACAATCATATATGACATCTGGATCGTTTGTTCAACACAGGAAACAAATAACAAAGTATCTTAATTTATGGTTTTACACAGACAGATTAATCCACATAAAAATGTTTGTCCATACATGACTTAATGCAAAACCAATCAAATAGCCCCCAAGTCACTTTACATTACATTAATCCACAACTAAACAATCATTCACAACTGACTGAATAAACTATAAGTCTTATTAAGCTACTAAGAAATAAATCCTAGATAACTACTAAACAGTTATATATAGCTTATCAAATAAGCCATAATTATAAATAATATCATTAATGATCCATCTTTTTTTCTTTTCTTTTTATTAGACTTAGGATCATGTGAGATCGATAGTTTTTCGTGAGACCTGTAAGACCAATTATCTATCCTTAGATTAGATCTACAATATAAACATTTATAATCACAAAATTGCCACGAAACTTCTCAATAATCACAAATTTGCCACCATACAACTTTAGACCATTAGATCATTAGCTTATAAAGTTAATCAATGAACATAAATTAATCTTACAGGTCTCACAAAAAATCCTTGATCTTACGTGAACCCAACATTTCTTTATTAATTGTTGTTGTGTGGGGACAAAGATGAAGGTAACCTAAACTAACGGCGCGTATGCAATTCGGGCGTAATTTGCTAACCCTAAACCTACGCCTCTCACACATTATATATGACATCACCCATTAACAACAAACCCTCACACCCAAACAGGTTTTCTAGAGAGAGAAAATTTGAGAGAGAGAGAGACTGTGTGTAAGCAAATTTTGACCTTTCAATTTCTTTGTGTATCCCGCATCTAATCTAGGGTTTCAAGTTCATCGATCCATCATCTTCCTCGTCAAACATCATCATCTTCATCTAAATTTCCCCCAAATGGATGTAAAAATCCAAATCTAAAACTCGCCGATCGTTCATCAGCGCCTCCGTTTACAGATCTAAAAAATCTCGCCCTAAATTGGTCTTTTTTTTGTTTGTCGAACAACGGATCAAGATCAGTTATAAATTGTGTTTGTTTTTTGTGATTTAACTGAGACGATAAGATGAATTCAATCAATCGAACGGAAAAACTTGATGATTGATGATAGATTAGTGATCTGTATGTATATGAATCTGTACACTGAACAACAAGAACAAATCGAAGAAGACGAAGGGGAAAAGAGAGAGAGAAATTATCGCTCAAGATTCTGATAATTTTTCTTTTTTACTTTTTGGAATTTTTTTATAAAGAAATTGATTTTTGAAGGAAAAACAGAATGTATAAATCTGTGGTGGCTGTTTGTGATGGGGAAAAAGTACTTGGTGATGTTGAGGTTTATTTTAATCCTCATCTGATGAATCTGAATATGAGAGAGAAATTGAAGGACAAAATCCGGATTTCGTACTATTCCACACCAAGTGAGAGGTGCTCGCCACTTGCTGTTCTTCACACCATTACTTCACCAACAACTGGGGTTTGCTTGAAATTGGAGTGCAGCAACACCATCAACTCGAACTCGCAGCTCCATCTGTTGCACTCTTCATGTCTCAGGGAGAACAAGGTATATTTGCCAACCTCAGAATAAACAGATTAACAAAAAGAAGATGACCACAACCTATTGAAATTGAAATTTAACTCAAAACCCTAATTTCAGCTGCAAACTTTTTATTGTGAGGACTTTGGTGGACAAAGATGAGACCCTTAAAGAAAACCTAAAATTGAAACTTTCAACAGTTTTCACTTTGCTTTTTAACTTTGGATTGACTTGATGAAGAACCCATATATTTTCTCTGAATTTTGGACTGTCTTGTGTTACTCAGAATATTACAAAATGCGAACATAAATCTTAAATTCTTAATCAGAGACCGATCTGTGTCATAATTTGCAGTTCGGGATCATTTATAGGAAATACAAATGGGGGACTAGCTTATAATTCTTGAATGGACTGATTTGACTTGCAATTTGCAGTTTTGCCTAAAGTTTGGACCCGTGGATGTTACCCTCTACATATAATTCTTGACTGAAGTTTATTGGAGTATCTAAACTTATAAACTGGATGATTCTTCCTGGAATAAAAATTGGTGCTGAAGAATAAACCATATGTGTAACAAGACATGCTCTTTAATTGGCTTCATGTAGTGGACTGTAACTTCATGGATAATTTTTCTTCAAACTATACCATCAGTACAAAGAAAGCTCTTAATCGGTTTACCGGATACAATAGCTGGTTCTATCATAATTCTGTGTTGAAGCAGGTTGAATAAAACATGCTAAAACAAATAAGGGATATCCATGTAAAAAGGGTTTCTCTTTTCATTACCTTGGCTTCACAAATTGGAAGTGACTAAACAAATATCTATTAAAAGCACAAGCAGGGATGTAATGACTTTTTTGACAAGATCATTCATTTTTAGCATTGCATGTTGACCTGTGTATTTATGGTCTTTTTGCTTATGGAGTCTGATCTTATTTGTTGGTCTCCACAAGCAAATGCGTAATTCTCATTTATGTCTTGTTGTAATCTTATGGATATTCTGAAATCTACTCAAGTGTGTTGGTCAATAGGATTTTCAAAATTTTGTGGTGTTCTTTGATCCTATTTCAAACTTAAAATGTGCTATTGACGACATGCCCATATGCAGACTGCTGTTGTCTCACTTGGTGGAGAGGAGCTTCACTTGGTAGCCATGCGCTCTAGGAGAAACGACTTATTTCCGTGCTTTTGGGGGTTTAATGTTGCACCAGGACTTTATGAGTCATGCCTTGTCATGCTGAACCTTAGATGTCTTGGCATCGTGTTTGACCTTGATGAGACGCTCATAGTGGCCAATACATTGCGGTCATTTGAGGATAGGATTGAAGCCCTACAACGGAAAGTGAGCTGTGAGGTTGATCCACAGCGTGTTGCTGGTATGCTTGCTGAGATCAAACGCTATCAAGATGATAGAAATATATTGAAGCAATATGCGGAGAGCGATCAAGTTGTTGACAATGGCAAGGTAATCAAGTCGCAGTCTGAGGCTGTCCCCGCGTTGTCAGACAACCATCAACCTCTTGTCCGTCCACTTATAAGATTACAGGAGAAGAACGTCATTCTCACACGTATCAACCCACTGGTATGCATCTACTGTTTTGAACCGGCCCTTTACCTTATTCCTTGCTTTCGTTGGTTTATAATTTACACTTCTTCTCAATCCAGTAGTGTTCTGTTTAGGTCATCAGTTTGATTGCGTTGATGATTGCATATGTTGTATGGCTACGTGATCTTATTTCTTATTTGTTTATTAAATATCTTACTAAAACCTTCACATTTTTACAGATCCGTGATACAAGTGTCCTTGTGAGACTGAGACCTGCATGGGAGGATCTTAGAAGCTACTTGATCGCAAGAGGACGGAAGCGATTTGAGGTTTATGTTTGTACGATGGCTGAAAGGGACTATGCTTTGGAAATGTGGAGGCTTCTTGATCCAGATTCAAATCTAATAAGCACAAAAGAGTTACTTAACCGCATTGTGTGTGTGAAATCTGGTAAGTTGTATGGGAATTACTCAAACCGTACTTGTTGTGTGGCCGACACTTGTCCATATGAATGGAAAGCCGATTACCTAGCTTGTGTTTCTTCAATTACATCGCGTAGTTGTTACTCATCATTCGTGTTCCATAAATGTTATATGAGCAATTTAATAGTCATACTTATTTCCATTTTATCAGGGTTGAAGAAATCACTCTTTAATGTTTTCCAAGATGGAAACTGCCATCCCAAGATGGCGTTAGTTATTGATGATCGTCTGAAGGTGTGGGACGAGAAAGATCAACCTCGTGTTCATGTCGTTCCTGCTTTTGCTCCATATTATGCTCCTCAAGCTGAAGTACTAACTATACCCATTTATTTTCTTAATTTAAAAAAATGTGTTTGTAGTATCCTTTCTTATGCAATAATACTCCTTTGTTTATCTTTGTGCTTTTAGGCAAACAGTGCTGTTCCTATCCTTTGTGTTGCAAGAAATGTTGCTTGCAATGTCAGAGGTGGTTTTTTCAAGTAAGGATGAGAATTCATTTTCTGTAGTTTACAACTGCCTTCATGTTGCATCTTTTGGAGTATTTGCATTTCTTTTTCACTATCTAATGTTAAATGGCCTCCTAAGTTTTGGTTAAGATCCAATCATTGTAATAAAGGTATTCATGTTGGTTCTTTTAGCATGACAAGTTCTATCTTTGAACAGAGACTTCGATGATGGCCTTCTGCAGCAAATTACTGAAGTTGCACATGAAGATGAAATCAAAGATATTCCTCTGCCTCCAGACGTGAGCAACTATTTGATTTCTGAGGTTAGTGATGGGAAAGTGTCAAGTTTCATAACTTTTCCTCTTCTTTCTGGTTTCTATTATTCTCCAGTTTTATAATGATTAGTGTGTCTTGAGACCCGGGTTAAGTAAATAATTGTGGTGATATAATTTGCTTGCTGCCCAGGATGATGCTTCTGCTTTAAATGGGAACAAAGAACCACTTGGTTTTGATGGAATGGCAGATGTTGAAGTAGAAAGAAGATTGAAGGTAATTAGTCTTTTTACGATGCTATTCTTTGTAGGATTACATGGTTTATGTATTTCAATGTGACAATAGTTTCACTTTTGACCATGTATTCTTGTATTCTCATTAGTAAAATTATCTACATCCCACAATAAATATATTTTTATAGAAACTTGATTAATCATAAATTCATCTGTTGTGATCATCCAGGATGCTATAGCTGCTTCAACCATCTCTCCAGTGATACCTACCCTAGATCCGGTACTCAAGACAACTTTCCAGTACAATACTGCACCTGCAGCCATGCCTCAGCCAACAATAGTGCCACCAACAATTCCAGGGCCAATTGTCCAATACCCCAATAAGCAATTGCCTCAGGCAACCCCTGTACTTGAACCATTCACTAAAGTTAATCTTCCCGAAACAAGCTTGCATAGTTCTCCTGCAAGGGAAGAGGGTGAGGTGCCAGAATCTGAACTGGATCCTGATACAAGGAGGCGGCTACTCATTTTGCAACATGGTATGGACATGAGAGATCAAATTAGCAGTGAACCTCAGTTTCCTGTAAGGCCTCCTCCAATGCAAGTTTCCGCTCCTCGAGTCGACTCACGTGGAGGCTGGTTCCCAATGGGGGAGGAGATAGGTCCAAGACAACTAAACCGAATAGCACCTCCTAAAGAATTCCCTCTACATCCTGAGCCTATGCACATCGAGAAAAAACACCCTCTTCGTGCACCACTCTTTGTTCAAAAGGTGGAAACTTCTTTACTTCCTGATAGAGTTCTTGAAAATCAGAGACTTCCTAAGGAGGTAACTGATGTTGCTACTGCTCTTATGCAGTAGGCTAGTATATTATGCTATAAATACTAGATGTAGATGACTATTTACTAAAAGAATGAACATATATATTTTTGCAGGCCCTTCAAAGGGATGATAGGTTGAGGTTAAGCCATTCTCCGCCTGTTTACCCCTCGTTTCCAGGTAAGCTGCTGTACATGTATTATTGTGGTTAGAGTCCAATCATATACAAGAGTTTCCTTGAAAAGTTTGTTAGTGTAGTACGACTTTCACCAAGTGCTAGAACTATTCCTTTTTACTCTTTCTACCTTTAGAAGACACCTCTTGATTGTTGATGAGATATTCCTGTCAGTGACTTTTGATCTTCCATACTCATTAAGAAGTGTGCAACATTTGGTGCCGGAATGCCTTGTTTTCCTTCATTTTATTTTTGTGAAAAAGTTACCAGGACAACGATCTCTCTCTTTTCTTAAGAATTGTAGTTGATTGCTGCTGCTTGAGGTTTTGCTTCTATTGTCGAGTTCACTAATGGAAATCACGATCTTCTTATCTGTATTAATGTTTTAGCAATGTTAAATTTCCCTTTAAATTTTAGGTTACATTCCTTAGAAGGATTTTATATGGTTGAGATATCTTTCCCTTGAAAGGAATTGCACTTGTTCTGTACATAAGTGGTTGATTCATTATCTGTCTATTAATGAAGAACTTTGTCAGAGGTGTGAGCTATAATATTTTGACCAGCATATTAAATTTGAAATTTTAACAATCGTCGTTTTGGTTTGACTATATATAGAATATCTGTTGACTATTGCTTCATCGTTTAGGTTTCATTTGTAAATTTGATGAGAGGAATTGATTTTAAATTTGTTACCATTTCTCCTGCCTCGGTGTATAAGGAAGTAGGGAAAACATTTTTATAGACCATTCAGATTATGGTTTGTAGTCAAACCCAAAATGTTACTATATTGGTTCAGATTTAAACGACATTGTTAGAGAATATAAAAAGTTAAAACACACCAAGTTGGGAAAGATGTTAATGTCATTGAACATGTTAATCTTCTGAAGCAAAGCTGTAATGGATATGGCATTTTGCCTTGCATTTCCATGTTTCATTTTAGGAGTTTTGTCATTTTCAGTGGATAGCGTTATGGCTTATGAATCGTAGGTTTTATGACCAAGTTGAGAAGTACTGGGCTTAAATTCTTATTTTGCTTTTTGATCTGTCAAATATGTGCCGAGGGTTGTCATAAAAGATTAAAATCTTGACCTGTGATTTCATGTGATCGTCAAGCCCAATTGATCATTGGGCCTCATCAATTGTTTGCGTTTCATGAAAATCTCAACCCTGTGTCATGAGTTGTTTCAAACTTTTCTATGAGTTGGACACAAAAAATATATATGGGTTTTAGTCTGAGCTTAAGCCTATATATGAATGCTTAGAAAGTCTTCTGATCAACATGGGCAAGTTCAGTAAATACTGAATCCAAAACAAGATTGGTAAATATTATTTCTTATCTTTTAAGGTAAGACCTACATGGATCCGGTTTGCAAGTAAAAATGAAAGGACTAATGTGTTTACTCACACATGGCAGCATATCCTTATGTTGTTAGAGATGTGGTGTGCGGCCTTATGTATGCAACACTGAGGTGTCACGACTATATTCCTAACCTGTTGGTTTGGATGATAAAAGGTAGAATTACTTGAAAAGATTTAAGAAATCTTTAGGTGAAAAGTTCAAATCCCAATTGCAGGATTTCTAAGGAGATGAGGCTTTTGTAGGTCATCAAATTCTTACAGTTGGATATATAATTCGAACTCAATTGGCTAATAAGTACTAACTTGGAATGTGTCTTCAACAACAAGAGTTCTGTAGCCTGTAGCTTTATACCTTGATACTTCTTTTGCTTTATGAGCTTGCATCGTTACAAAGAAAATAATTTTTTATTTACTGAATGTATCTTGAAGGGGAGGAAAGTTCCTTGGGTCAATCATCATCCAGCAACCGAGATATGGATATTGAAGCTGGCAACAGTGATTCTTATGCTGAATCCCCTGCTGAATATCTACATTATATTGCCTACAAGTGTGGAACTAAGGTATGAAAACAGTAAATTTTCCTAATTTACCAAAGGCGAATTAAGAATCTATTATGTTCGCAGACTATCATGCTAAGATGGTATTTGCTTGAGAATCAACTAAATTAAGCTTTTATCTTGTTCTGGCAACTCACTATATCTATGCTTGTAGGCAGAATTCAAGCAGGCTTTGGTCCCTAGCATTGAACTGCAGTTCTCTTTTGAGGTATTCAAAATCCCTTTAAATTTCAAAAATGTTACTTGTGACACAATTTCTGTGAATCATTAGAATTTGCTCAAACAATCTATCGTCTTTTACAGGTATGGTTTGCTGGAGAGAGAATTGGTGAAGGAAGTGGGAGAACACGAAGGGAAGCTCAACATCAGGCTGCTGAGGCATCTCTTATGAACTTGGCAGGTAAAAAAAATATTTGGTGGTTTAAGGTTAACAATGTAATAAGATTGGAGTTGTATGCTTGTTTATTTTCTTTTACTGTTTGTTAATAAAAAGTATAATGAAAGCAAGATCATCTATTTCTTTTATATTTTGAGTTTTGTCATAATTAGGGACAAACTTTTAAGAAGTGCCAATGATTTAAGGTTACAAAATGGTCATGGTAACAAATGAATAAAATCTACTTTGCCGGAATGCCTTAAGTTGAAACTTTGAAGACTAATAGAGTTGTAGGATGTTTTCTAAGAGAAGATAATGAGACCTTATTATCTATTAAAGTATTGATAAGTTTTTTAATAGACTGTGATGCCCTTCAATAATTATTGAGTTTTGGGCAGAAGAAATGAATGGTTCATCGACACAAGATACTCTTCTATGTTTTTACTTTCCATAGTGGCTTGTTGTCAACAATTATTGTAACCATTCTAGGTGATGTTGCAGATAAGTATTTATCTCGCCTAAAATCTGGCACAAGCTCTGTTCATGGAGATGATGGAAGATTTGTAAATGACGGAAGTTCTTTTGGACATCAGTCTTTGTTGAGGGAGGAGTCTATGACATTTTCAACTGCATCTGGACCCATGAGGGCTCTAGATACAAAGTTGGATGGGTCAAAGAAAGGGTCGATTGCTGCACTTAATGAACTTGTAAGATCCTCATTAACTTGAAAATAATTGGTTAATGTGTTATCTAATATAGTAGTCTTCACGGAAACGATCACTCCACTCTTTAGAGTAGAGGTGAGGTCTATATACATCTTCCCCATTCCCGCCCCCACCTCTGCCCCCACCTTTGGGTGGGATAGACTTGGTTCGTTTGGCTTGATTTTATTTAATCCAGTATTGACAATTGTTTGGGTTCTGGTTATTGATTGGGCATATATCGACCTTTTCGTTATTTCAGTGCATGATGGAGGGTTTGGGCATGACTTTCCAACCTCAGCCTCAAGCTTCAACTAATATGGGACAGAACAACGAATTATATGCTCAGGTATTACTGATTTGTGGTTTATAGGGTCATTTGGGTCTTTTTAATTAGGAGAAGAATTCCGTTCTAGTTTCAACTTTTCTCATTTGCTTGATGCTGCTGTTATGTTTCCAGGTTGAAATAGATGGGGAAGTGTGGGGTAAGGGAGTTGGGTTAACATGGGATGAAGCGAAGATGCAGGTATTTATCTGTTCTTTCCATCCTTTCTTTCTCTCCTCTTCCTGCCCCGCCCCCATCACGCCCCACTCGTACTCTACCCCTCCTTTTATAAAGGGTGATTTGGTATGTGGGACAGTACAAGACTAAACAAAAACTTGTTGTCACACATTTGGTGTGACAATTAGACCGAGACTGGACAGGATTGAGTGGGACAAATATGCATTTTTTTATGTCGTACCAAAATAGTTGGAACAAAAATCAGTTGAGACTAGATAAGCTTAGTAAATTACTAAACTACCCCATGTGAAAACCTTCCACAATTCTTTCTCCCGCCCATCTCACTGTAACCCATTCCGTATTGCCTAGTAGTTGTCCAATCCCCTGACCGTACCGAAAGCACCTAAAGGGGTTCGTATATTTCATGACATAATCTGCATATTATCTTGACCAAGTCTCATGTTTTACTTTACTCCAGGCGGCAGAAACTGCTTTTCAAAATTTGAAATCAAGAATCGGGCAATATCCTCAAAAACGTCAACCTTCTCCCAGGTCACTTTCTTTTGCACTTGCACTGTTTTTATATGTAACCGGTAAACAGCCAGGGAAACAATCGCTCTACCACTTGGGGTAGAGGAAAGGTTTTCGTACATCCTATCCCGAGTGGATTTATGGTTTGTTTTCTTTGGTATAATACATAATATAGTAGTTATATAATTAGTTTATTACATATAAAATCTCGAACTGATGTGGATACTTGCAAACGGATATGAGAACTCAAAATATAGTGTGAGATTTTGGATATTTACTAATAGGGATGTAGTTATGTTCACATCCACATTTGTATTCGCCTGTAGCGGATATGGATATGGAGTACCCATGTTCGGATTTTCAATAATATTCGTCTTGGAGGAATTCATATGTGGACAACATCAAGTCTTTTGATATCCATTTAGGCCATGTTTGGCAAACTAGCTGATAAGCTGTTGGTTGATAAGCTAACAGATAAGCTAGATGATAATGCAAATTGACCTAATAGGACATGCTGAAAAGTTAATTACAAATATATAAGGGGCATAATTGGGAAAAAGTGGAAAAAATTCTTGGAGCTTATTGAAACACTACTTGAAGTAGTTTTGATACCTATAGAAAAGTAAGGGTTTGTCTGTTAGCAGCTTAATAAGCTTAATGGGATTCAAAACTTATTGGATGAGCTATACATGACTGTTTGGTAGTGGCTTAATAATATAGAAAGTAACTTATTCAATAAGCTTCTTGGGGGAGCTTTACGTAGAAAGCCAAGTTTTTTCCAGACCTGCATCTCCCAACTAAAAAACACTTTCCTTTCATCTATTAAAAACCCTCCCAAACAAAAATCTTCTCAATCTATACAGACAAATTAATTCACAATGACCACTTTATTCATATATGACTTAATGGAAAATCAACCAAACAGACCCTAAGTCCAAGTTTTGGAGTTTTTTTTGTGGAAACTTGTCAAAATGATGCACATAATTTTTGTTGTTGTTTGGACCCAATCTAACATATTTACATTCTCTTTGTTTTGGATCAGATCGTTTCAAGGAATGTCAACGAAACGGTTTAGGCCAGAGTATCCGAGAGTTTTACAACGAATGCCATCTTCAGCACGATATCCTAAGAACGCTTCTCCTGTTCCTTGACAACATCCAAACAGAACTCCTAATCTGACCAAATTCCAACGATTGGATCCTTATTAACTACGAACGCTGCGTTACTGTGAGTAAAATCCTCTATATCTGACTGATGTATACCCATCCATCACTGACCGAAGCCGTCGAGACCACGCCATTTGACTGCTTCTTTGCCGCAATTTGGTAAATTTTTTGAAACTTGGATCCATGGTACAAAGATGGAGAAGCAGATTGTATCGGACTTTTCCCTTCATTCACTTCCACATCCTACCCTGTTTATCGGCTTCTTTTGACACTTGGATGGTGGAAAATGGTCGTTATCCCGCCAATAGTTCTGCCAATGTCGGAAACTAGCATTGGCAATCAATGCGGTTTCTTGATTTTCGCGTGACCGATGATTGGTGTCGATTTGGAAGCAGCCAAAGACATGATTTTTGCTGACTCATTAAGATGGTGTTTGTAACTTTGTAATTTGTAGTTACTGCCATTAGAGGTTGGATATTTTTTTTATAAAATATTTTACCATTTTTTAGTTATATTTAAGCTCTTGGGCAGTAGCCATGAGTTTTTTGCAAAAATGGGTTGGTTTTGAAAAAGGTTTGTAAAAATAGGTTAGTTTTATTTTTGTTGGTAGAAATAGGTTAGTTTGTGTGGGACCCACCCATTTAAAAAAAATCTGATTTTCTATATTTACAAGTTTTACCCTTCAACTTACATTTTCATTTTTATTTATATCCTTTATTTTGTAAAATTTTAT